AAAAAAAAAAAAAAAAAAACCCTAATGAAACCATGATCCAAGTGAATTTACAACCTAATTAAATCAAGGAATTCTCAGAATTGACCATTAAAAAAATCAATTATATTGTTGGAAAATAAAACGGATCGACGTAATATATATGACAAAATATGAAGTATTTGATCACAAAAAATAACAAGATAAAAAACAGAATTAATTGGCAAAGGAATTCATTATATTTAATTGACTAATATGAAGAAAACAAATACAATAATTGTTCCTACACAATGATTCTATATTTTAGTAATACAAAACTTGTGAAAATAGTTTAGTATTTATAAGGATGAATGTCAAACCCTAGAAATACCACAAAAATAGAAACAAGATAAAAAATCACGTGAAATAAAAAAAATATTTTTCCAATAAAAACACATGCAAAGAAAGAAAAAATATTTTCTCAAAAAAAAATCCAACCTAATTTGGATTAAAAAAAAATTAACAATCTCCCACCGACATAAATTCCGATGCAACGAACGAATCTCCAAGATTTCTCCACTTGGAAAAGTAATCCGACTGCAACAAAAAATTCGAACTTTTCAACAAAAACCAAATTTTCTCCAACACAAAAATACACATCATCTTCCACTGTATCCAACACAGATACATAAACCAAAACACTGTTTTCATCAAAATTCACAAAGAATGAGAAATTACCAAACAATGTCAAAGCACACCATGCAGCAAAGTCAACTCCCAATACTTTCATAGAAGGCCCCTAGTTAGTCTCACCACCTTAAAAAACGCTAAAAGCATGTGCAACCAAATCAGCATCCACATACGTATCTCCAATGAGTCTATCTATATCAGTTGAATACAATAGAACCGCAAGTAATGGTGGTAAAGCGGAATTACCCATATCCTCTAAACTCGACTCAGTAGTATTCTTCAATATGGACCCCGAATCTAATCCCAAAGGTACAGTGACAAACTGAATCTCTACTATGGTATTAAATCTCTGCTGATTTTTCCTCACAAATTCTGCTCGATCTTGCAAGATGTATGACTGGAACATTTCCCGCCCCTCCAATATAATACAAACACTTTTTCGAACCTTCAAAACTCCACCTCATCCAGAGAACATATACCCTTTCGAATTAGGAATACTCAACAAAATGAGATTCTTCTTCAAGTTTGGAATATGTCGAACGTGATTGAGTGTTCTATATGTTTCATCAACTAGCTTCAATCTGATTATTTCAATATCAGCTACCTAGCAAGATTCGTTATTACCCATGACAACGACACTTTGGATCACCGTTTCATATGTTCCAAACAAATACCGATTATCATACATATGGAATGCACATGCTGTATCCAAAATTCATTCATCATCAAGTTTGGATTTCACGTCAGAAATCGTCAAAACATCTCCATCATTCAAATAGTTCTTGATTATGTTGGTCTCGTATGAAGTATTTGATTGTTTCCCATGATTTGCATTCAAATTACCTTTGCTTTGCAATTTGTCGCAACCCTTCTTAAGTATTTGATTGCTTCCCATCATTTCTTCTTGCAATAATAACAAATCTGATTACTAAAATTTGAAATCGACTAACCTCTTCTTCGATCATCATGAACAACAAGGCATCGTCCATATTTGACCTTAGATCAAACCAGATGCTTCATCTTCTTTTTTGAAAACAAGGCATCATACGTATCTTCATTAGTGAGAATATCATGACTACACAAGAACGTGTTTCTAAATGAAATAAACGAAGTGGGTGACGAACGCAAAAGGATTAAGGCCAAATCTTTTTCATCATACTTTACCTCTATAGTCTCCAAATCAGCGACGATCTCCTTAAACACAGCCAGATAATCTTCTAAATATCTACCTCCAGCCATGCGATGAGAATACAACCTCTGCTTTCGATGCGATTTGTTTGTCAGACTTCTAGTCATGCATAATTGCTCCAACTTCAACCACAACGTAGCTATCGTTTTCTTCAAAACGTCCTAAAAAATATTGTTAGAGAGATAAAGATGGTTCTGTAAAAGTGCCTTTTGATCCTTTCGTTGTTTCTCCTCCGTCATTAAATTTGTGGTATTTTGTTATATCCCAATGACGTATCATCCAAATCTATCTGAGTAAATACAGCTCACATCTCACTTGCCATAACGAAAATTTTGTATTGCGATCCATAGCAGAATTTCAAATTCAAGACTACCATCAATAACAAAAACCTCGAATAAATCACAACCAATAGCCCTGATACCATTTGTTAGAAAATAAAAGGATCGAGGTAATATATATGATACGATATGAAATATATGATCGCAAACAAATAACAAGCATAATTATTTTATTTATTTTCTCCATATTAATCAATTAAATAAAATACTGCAATCCTCTGCCAATTATTTCTTTGTATTTTTATCTCGTTCTTTATTTGCGATCATATATTTCATATCGTGTCATATATATTATCTCGATCCGTTATATTTTCCAACAATTATACGGTAACAATCAATCCTAGACTGATGCAACCTAACAATCAATACTAGGATTTCACCCTTGCTATTTGATATATCAAACCATGTGGTTTGTAATCCTTTCTCAGATTCCCTTTTTCTAAATTCACATCGGACTCATTTCAAAATATTGTTCTAAATATATCAAAAACATTATCTCGAAAACTCCATGAAATTAGAATTATCACCCTAATATGGAGAAAAATTAGTCAATGTTGAAATTGTACATTTGAAGAGCCCTGTAAATAAGACCAGAAAATGGGCAATCAATTGATTTCATGGAGATTTGGGAAGT